GAGATAAGGCCCCGGGCGCAGTGCGCGTGGACTTCTACGGCAGAGCGGCCGTTGAGCTCGTCTTCGGAGCGGAGTTCACAGGGCAGGGGGAGGACATCCTATGGGCCCTAGTGCACAAGGGCCACATGCGCGTCCTCGCCCCGCCAGGCTCGGGCATCATGGGGCAGCTGTATGGCGCGGGGATCGACGCGCAGGAGTTGCCCGTGCTGGGCTGGGAGGCGTTTCTGGAACTTGCCCTGACCACTCGCCCCCCCCCGGCCCACCCGGGCGCGCCGGCCTGCCAGCGGTGCGAGGAGGCGGCGGGCATCGCGGTGACCCGGCGGCCCGCGTCAGGCTTCCTCGTTGGCCTTCTCGGCGAGGAGACGCCGGCCAACTCCGCCCTCTTCCTCGGGGAGGCGGCGGCAGGAGAGGTCGAGGAGGACCAGGAGGTAGAGAGCGGCAAGGTCGGCGAGGTCATCGAGGACCCCTCGGACGGCGAGCTCCGCAGCCGGCTGGGCGCGCAAGCTGCGGCGTCGCCGCCTCTCGGCGACCGCCTGGATTCCCTCGAGGTTTTCACGGGCGAGGCCCGCCTCTCCAAGGCAATAGGACAGCAAGGCGGCCGAGCCATCAAGATCGGGCTGCACCATGCGCAGGACTTGCGCCGCAGGCGCGGTAGGAGGTTGCTGCTCGACCTCGTGAAGCTCTACGACCCGCGCGAGACCTGGATCAGCTGGCCGCGTGCGGCTTTCTGCGCGTTCGCGGCACTCAACGACTCGAGGGGCGTCGACCTGTCGAAGGTTAAGAAGGAGGGAGCTACCTTCCTGGCCCTCGCCAAGAAGATCATGACTGAGCGTGTGGCCAAGCAGCAGGGCTGCGCGGGCGAGAACCCCTGGCTCTCGGCGGCGCGGAAGCAACTGGCCACGCTTTTGGAGGGCCCAGCCCGTCGGCAGGTCCGCCTCGATCCACGCGCCCTGAACCTCAGGAGCGCTGCAGGGGGCCTGCACCTCAAGCCCACCCGCATCGCCTCGACCTCAGGGGGCATCGCGGACGCCCGAGACCTCCGCTGCAACGGCGACCACCTGCACAACCTCGTTGAGGGCAGGGCGGTCACCAAGCGGAGTAAGACCTACTCTCAGGAGATGGCCGAACTAATGGCCAAGACGGTCATGCGACGCGCCGAACGAGCGAGCAAAGCAGGCGAAGAGGAGCACGATGGGGGGGAGTACCAGCACGTGGAGGTCGGGGGCCGTAGGAAGCAGTCGAGGAGTCTACACGGACAGGGGAGGTCCTTGAGGAACGAGCAGGCGGGCCAGGAGTCAGACCAGAGGACGAGGCGGCGGGGGCCTACTACGATTTTCTCCAGGATCACCCAGACTACGACGCAGACCAGAAGGGGAAGGTCGTGAGGAGAAATGACGCAGTGCTGAAAGAGGCGGGGTCGCTCGAAGAAGCGATCGCGGCAAGGCGAGGGTTCTGGTGGGAGAGGCGCGGCTACCACTTGAGGGGCATCTTCGACAAGAACCTGCCGCACCCGAGTGCCAAGGACCACTTAGACGAGGTCATGCACGGCCTCTGGAGGGACGCGGCCAAGGGCCGAGTCTTGCTATGCACCAATGTGCATGGGCATCTGCTCAGAAGAGTGGCGAGCGCTCCTATGACCAGGGTGCCCAAGCAGAAACCAGACCGCACCATGAGCGACAAGGGCAGGCCGATCTGGGACGGCACCGTACCCAACCAGAGCTGCCCCAAGGAGGACCACCCGCCCGCGGACCAGCCGCGACATGAGGACCTGGCACGCATCATCCTATGGTGGAAGGCCAGGATGTCAGGCGTGGACATCCCCCTGTCCAAGAAGGACGTCAAGGACGTCTTCGGTTGGGTAGTGATGCACGGAATGGACGCGCGCATCTCTGGCGCGGACTTGGAGGGCGGCAGGTGGGGCGTGGCAGCACTGATCACGGCGGTCTACATGTTCTTGACGTTCGGCTGGACGGGCAACCCAGGCGAGTGGATGATCTGGGCCTGGGTGGCGAAGTGCTACCATGCAGCGTGCCGCCCAGCAGACGCGAGGTGGGACGACAGCGCCCCCTTCCACAGCTCCTTCTCGATGGACGACCAGGTCCTCGCGGGCCGTGACATCGGCACCAGGGCAGCGCAGAGCGGCGACGCGGCGCTGGAGGGAATCCGGACCTGTTTGAGCAGGGACGCGATCAACGAGGAGAAGGAGCTTGAGGAAGGAGGCTCGGAGACCTCCTAGATACGCCAGGGTCTCCTGCACCGCGCCAAGGAGGGCGCGCTGGAGATGCCGGAGCCAAATCGAGAAGGCGGCGCACCTCCTAGCAGGCCCCACCCTAGACTACGGCCAGCAAAACATCCCCTGGAACCCCATGAAGGTCTACAGGGGGAACCAGCAGCACTGGCCCCTCGTCGTGCCAAAAAAAGAGGCGCCTCGCCAGCGCAAGCGACGCGCTCTTGCGAGGCCGCCCGCGTAGGCTGGCCGGGCCGAAGGGGGGCGACTTCCAACGCGCGCTTGCCTGGGTGGACTTTGGCAGGCCACTGAGGTGGCACGCGTCCTGGCAACGGACAAGTTGAAGTGGAACTCACGTTTCACGGGGGCCTTGCCAGGCGTGATCTCGCTCAATGAGAAGCTCGCGCTCCCGGGCTGGCGCTACCAGGTGATTTGGGTAAAGGGGGGCGCGACGCCGCAGAGGATCGCCAAAGTTGACTGGGTGAATTTCAAATGCGCTTTCCACTCAGTGCCCGAGTTTATGCGGGCGCTGAATGGGCCGAGGAAGATGAGGAGGCCATCGTCGCGATCGCGGAGTTCATGAACCTGGTCACCTTCGCAGCTAAGGCAGGTGCTGAGGGCTGGTGGGAACGCGGGGTGATCATGCATGGCGGAGACAGCTACAATGTCCACTGCTGGCTGCAGAACCGACTCGCCAATAACCGCCACGCCAGCTTCCTGACCATGGTGATCACGCGCCTGGAAACGGCACACGGCTGCGAGGTAGCCAGCGCACATATCCGCACCTACCACAACGTCACGGCGGACACCTTCCCCCGTGTGGAGGATGAGGAGGCGGCAACCCCCAGGCGCAGGCGCGCGGGCTACAGGTAGTCAGCCTGAGGGACAGCTGGGCACGGCACCTCGAGCGAGGTTGGCTGCGCCGAGCGTTGATCTGGGAGGGCCAGCGCGACGCGAACGCTCGCGCGGCCTAGCAGGTTTCGGAGGCTCGGCGTGACCCACACCGGCCTAGGGCCCTGCGACTGACGCCCGGGATGGCGGCGACGCTGGTCGAGTGGCGAGGGGCGACGGGGGCCCCCTGTAAGGCAGGTGCCCGGCGAGGAGCCATCGTCTGGATGCTGGGCCATGCTGGGCGCGTCGGGGGCCCCGAGCGCGGGCCACTCAGTTAGGCCGCCCGGAGTGGCGGAGTGGTCCGCCAGAGGCCCGAACAGAGCGGATGTGGTGGAGCCAGTCTCACCAACGATAGCGGCGAGGAGGCACGGCGATGGGCCGAGTTCGTCCTCCGGGCTGGAGCCGAGGTGGCTATCGCAGACGCCCCGGGGACCGGACCTGGACCCGGCGCCCCAGAAGCTGAAGGGCGCGGGCTACAGCTGGGAGGAGGTAGAGGTCTGTTGCGCGAAGCTGGGGGGGGGGGGGGGGGTGCAACGGCGAGGCAGCGGAGAGTCGTTCTAGCCGTCAGAGGGGGCGGCGAGGCAGCCAGCTTGGGCCAAGAGCACAACGAGCCCATAAGTCTCAAGGCGTGCGTAGGCAAGCCCAGCCAGGACGCGGTCAAGATGAGCAGCGAGAGACGGCGAGCTGGCCATGGACCCGCGCATCTCCGGAAGAGAGGAGGCTCAGAGGGAACCAGGCCTTGCGGCCACTGTTACCCAAAGGGCGGAAGAGCCAAGGAGCTCGTCTTCTCGGTCGATAGCCCACCCCAAGTATCAGGAGCGCAGCGGCAGGCGGCAAGCCAGGAGAACGCATACTCGCCCACGACTCGTGCGAGCCCATCCCAGGAGCATGGCAGGCCAGGTGCGAGGAGATCCGGACTCTCATGTGCGGATCGGCAGCGACGTTCCGCAGGGCAGTGAGCGAGGGCCAGCGCAGACACCCTCGCCGCCTGGGTCATCCGGGCAGCCACACCGCAGCTGGCAGACGCAGTGATCGAGGAGGCGCTCGCCAAGCTCGAGTACCGCAGGAGGCAGCAGAAGGAGGCCAAGGCCGGAGCGTGCCCTCTCGCCAGGGAAGAGGCGCCGTTGGCCAGGCTTCAGGCTCGGCTGCGGGCTTGCAAAGTATGCCCACATGATCCGCGAGGCCAGGTGCTGACGGACAAGCAGGAGAGCGATCAGCACCGCTGCGGCATGCTCCCAGATGACGACCGCGGGGAGAAACGAGCCCGCGACCTCCTGGAAGACCCGCACCCCGACCTGATCTCACTGAGGGCAGGGAAGGATCCAGACGGGGCCCACCATGCCGAGGGGGCTGCGGCAGGAGCTGCGCCCACTTGGGCCACAGCTGGGAGCGGCACTGCCGCCGCCGGCGCCGGGGCCCGCGCGGGGCACGGCACAGATCAGGGCGCAATGCCTACTATGAGGACCTCATGAGACAACAGAGGAAGGCGGGTTTCCGGCCACCAGGGGATGGCGCGCGGGAGGGGCCCGAGAGGCCCATCAGCGAGGGCCTGGGCGACCACGACCTGAAGGAGGGCACGGCGGCGGCCCGAGCCCCGGCGCGCGGGGCGGTCGGGCCGTGGGCGGGGAGCAGCAGACGGGACTACGCCAAGCCCGAGCCCCGGGTGCCCTTCCCAGGAGGAGGCCCAGATATGCCCTACGCCTGGCGCGAATACTGCTGCACACAGGGCGAGGAGCGAGACACGAGATGCGGGATGCGCAGCCGCACCTCCCCCATCTCAGCTTCCAAGGACCGGGCTGCAGCCGCGGCGAGAGAGCAGGCAGCCCCATCAGGAGCAGCATCTTCGCCCAGGCCGGGCCCGGCACCGCCCCCGCCTGCCAAGGCGGTGCCCCGCGGCCACGCGGGCGGTGACCCCGACCCAGCGGAGGTGGTCATGCCCCCAGGTTTGCCCAAGGCGCCCCCCGCCCTGACCAGGCTCTTCGGTGCTACCGCGAGCATTGACGAAGGACGGCGAGGCTTCGCGAACGTCACCTACTTCGGCATGGGGTCGGACGGCGAGGATCGGAACTTCGTCGACCCCCAACAGCCTGGGCAGCACCCCTACGAGGAGAAGGAGCATTGGACCCAGGCGCAGCGCAGGTGGGTCAACCCTGAGGAGGCGGGCCGCTGCCACCAAGAGGGATGCAGACGGCTTCTGCCAGACCTGGGCTTTCAGGTCTTCTACTGCTGCCGGATGCGCCGGTGCGCCTGCCGCTTCGCGGTCGGCGCGCCTGTCGGCCACCCCGCCGGGGTGGGGCACTTCCCCCGCCCCTGGCCAGCCACGGCGCACCGGGGGGGGGGGGCGCGGCGGCAGCAAGACCCGCATGCCGCAAAGCTCGCGCCCACCGAGGAGGCTCGGGGGCGCCTCGGGCAGCCTGGAAGAAATGAAGGAGAGAAGGTGCGGGGGGGAGGGAGAGGCGGCCTGAGGGCCGTGGGCCCAGGGGCCCCTGCCGCGCCCGATCCGCCGAGGTCCCGAGGCGTAGACGCTGCCCGAGATTTCATTTTTTAAGGCTTCAAACATCTGGACTTCTAAGAGCGCGATAATAATGGGATGCCATTGGGCGAGGGATATCTGCACTAACTTCATTAATCTGAACTGCAGCAACGGCAATGCCTAGCTCGCGAGCTGCTTCGCCCATAACCGAGCGCTGGAAGGCGGCGCGCAGAGCGGCTGCGCGCCGCTGCGTCCCAGAACGGCGCCCTGGGCCACAAGCCCATGACCTTCGGGGGCGCGCCTATGATCCACCTGCCTCCAGCTGGCCCTGGGAGGACGGCGCGCAGAGTCAGGGGCATCAGCGCTGGCCGAGAACCCATCTCATCTGCGTCGTCCAAATTGCAAGGCCTCTTCTGCAGCAGCCCTCGGAAGGCGCCGCAAGTCCGCGGGGCCCAGCACGTCGACCCGCATGGGCTCCAGGTCGTGGACAACGAGAGGATCCAGGCCGTCTGCCTTGGACTGCCAGTGGAGCCACCGCCTGTCCAGATGGGAGCCCACGGTTCCACCTTCTGCGCCGCGATGACGGTCGGGCCCGAGGTCGCGCTAGGAGTAAACTCAACCGGCACTTCGAGAACCTCGGGTGAGCCCGGGTCTCGAACGTGCTGGCGCGGAAGCCTGGGCTCGGTGGCCCACGTGTCCTTGGCCCACTTGACGCGGGCCTGCAACGCCGCAGGCTCCAACTCTCGATTGACCACGGCACTCAACGCCACGATGCACCTCCGCTGTTGGCACTGCCAGGACCGCTGCGAACCGGAGACCAATGGCGCGCGGCGAGATAGTCGACCGCCCACAACCATTCCTAAACAAGAGACCGCGACTGAGCGCGGCCAAACGACGCATTGAGGCTCGCCCACTTGAGACCACACAGCCAGCCTCCGCCACTGCGCCTGCTTCGACATTCGACGGGGACGCGCGCAGCGACGAGGACGGCCTGCTCCGCCAGCGATATCCATCGCGCATAACGCTCTGATAGGGAGACCAAACCAACTTTGTCACGAGGCGCAGCCCAGGCAACGCTCTCCCTGATGACTGATGAAGGCCCAGACACCACAACGTCAACCGGCCGGTTCCAACTGACGCATCAAACCTGGATGTCTACCTAGAAGGGGGCCGCATCAGGATCAGCGGCACGGCACTCTGGCGGAGGGCGAGGCTCGTCAAGGGTGCCCTGAAACTCGTCGGGTAGTCGCCGCCAGCGGGCCGCCTTTCTCTCTTCGATCTTATTCCGGCGCTCGCCGCTCGGGCCAGCCCGGCATTTGGGGCGACCCCTGCACGGCTGGGCTTGTGGCAGCGTGACAACTTGGCGCCGCCAGTCGTTATGAGCATCCGCAATGCGCATGTCCAGCCGATGTCAGTGCGCCAAGGCACATCGGCGAACGCCTGGACTCGCGCCTGCTCCTGGTAGCCGCGCGTCACCACCAAGAAGTCATTGAAGATCCTTCAGGAGAAGATGTCATTCGGCCATAACCACCCGTGGTTCCACCAGAGTGGCGGGAAAGGCCGCGAGCGCTTTGACCCTGGGGACGGCGTCGCCACCCAGCTTGTGCCCAGGGCACCAATGAGCTGCAATGACGGCAACGTTGCCACCGCGCAACCGCAACTTGAGAGGACCCCCCCCCGGAAGCTCCCAGCTCGACGCGGCAAGGCGGCACTTCGCCATGACCCGCTCACAAGCGCACCAGTGCCAGCGGGTGCCGCAGCAGTGCCCCCAGCAGCAGCGGCCGCCGCATCGGCGGATGAACCTCCACCTGTGGCTGGGACAGCGCCTGTGGGGCCACGTTGCCCCTTGGCTTGAAGTGTGGCGTGCAGCCGCTTAGCCTCTTCCCTGAACTGGATGGTGTGTTCGGAAGCAGGCCACAGGGCAATGTGGACTTCTGTTTGCACGCTGATGGCGAACTCGCCTTTTGATGCGGCCCCCCTATACCTTCTCGTGCTCCTCGATATCGAGGCCACGAGGGCAAACAGCGGGCTTTCGACGATCTGAAGCGCGCCCTCGTCAACGAGGGTTGAGAGGTTGATGATCGAAGAAACGGGTGCCTTATAGCGAAGCAGCGGGTGCCTTGGCCTCCTCCTCCTCCTCCTCCTCCAGCGGCGGCGACGGCAGCTGCTTGGCGCAGGCTGCCTCCCAGTCCAGCTGGGCTTTATGCGCTGCCTCGGCTGACAAGTTCTTTGCCTTCTTCCACATAGGCCAACAACTGTTCCCTCCACGATGCGGGCGGCGCATGTCTCGAGCCACGCCTGCGCCCTCCTGCACGCAACCCCCGTCGTGGCCACCTCCTCCTCCAGAAGGGGAGCACGGCGAGGTGGGGGGGTCTGGCTCAGCATTGGCCGAAGTATGGACTCCAGGGCGTTGAGATCGTCGCAGTCGCCCAGCGTCGCACGTAAGATCGCGACGGGGTCAGGCGAGAATTGCCGCGAGGTCTGCTCAAGCTGCTCAGGTACAGGGGCGCCGCCATATGGGTACCAGCCAGGCCCGTGCCAGACCCACGACCACCGAACACGCGGCGCACCTTCGGCGGGATGGGCGGAACTTTGGAGCCTGCACCTGCTGCGTCGGCGGCGGCGGTAGCCGAGCCATCGGCCACCGCGAACGGATTCGAGGCGAGAGCTGGCGGGCTGAAATGCCACTGTCCACCAGGCTTTTTGTTAGCCGAGGGATTGGGGATGAAGGCCTCGCAAAGCTCATAGTACCAATGTTTGCTTCCGAAGTTCCACCGGAACCAGCAAGTCGAGCAGCTGATGTAAGTACCGCTTTTGTCCGCGCCTTTGCCACACGCCCAGCCCTGCCCCTTGGCGCCATTGCGACCCATGGATTGTGAACAGGCACAGCCGCGAGACTGCTCGCCCACTGAAGGGATGGAGGCGGCACGCTGGGGCAAGCCAGGCACCGCAAGATGGATGAAAGCTGGCCGCGGACTGGCGGTATCCACTCTGTTCGCACGGAAGCATGAGACGTTGAGCAAACATGGCTAAGGACGGAACGGAGGAAGAGGAGGAAGAGGAAGAGGATGAAGAGGAGGAAGAGGAGGAAGAGGAAGAGGAGGAGGAGGAGGAGGAAGAGGACTGGGACTCAAAAGGCGGACCGAGGGGCGCAACGGCGGGCGACATGCGACGGGCCCCGTGGCCCTCCCCCCGATCGCCCGAGAGCTCAGCTGCTGCGCCGTGGCGGCGTAACCGAGGAGCACGCCGGTGGCATGCTCGGTGAGGGCGTGCGCCTGTAAGGGGCAACGATACCCGTCGGCGAGAGGAAATGCGTAGATTCATGAAGCAGGAAGGCGATGGAAGTAGATTGAACTTCCACCCACCCCCTTCAGCCGAGGGAGGGACAACCACTCGACTCTTGAAGTGGGGAAGCGCGCCTCGAGTGGATAGGAATATGGTAATCTTGATACACCTACTTCCAAGACCCGCCTTGGCGGAGGGGGAACGGTCAGGGGCTTCTGAGGTTCGAAGTTGGAGGTCTTCGTATATGTCGTTGGTTCTTGGCGGCGTTTGAGCCTCGGGATGCCTTGCAGCAACTGCGCCTCGCCGAGGGCGTTCCTGGGACGTCCAGACCGAAAGCCACGAGGCAGCGTCAGGGGGAAGTGGCTCGGGAGGGAGCAGCGTCGAGCTGGAAGGGGCGATCCATCGCCGCTGAATCGGCGACAGACCTTCGATAGCGACACAGCACGGTCCTGGGGGGGAGCTATCGGGCCCCTATCTCGGGGGCGCGCAAACCAGCGATCCATGGACTCGGCGCGCGGTCGCCAAATCCATGGGTCGGGGGAGGTGCCCTCCCCAAAATGCGGCCGGTGTCGGCTGGCTCGGCGGCGGAAGTCCGCGATTTCCCATGGTAACGGGACCCGTTGCCAATCCACGCCCCCTTGATCCATGTTTGCGATCGCCTGACTATCGGCGATCAATGGGCGATCGGGGGGCGGTGCATCCCCCTTGGGACCTGTCCCCCTTGCCGTGGCTCCTGAGCCTGGGACTCCCCGTCGGCCCGCCGCCCAAAGGAACAAGAAGCAGCACACCCATGAACTTCCCAAGGTCCGCTCGGGATTCGTTTGGATCAGCGCTGGACCCCCTCCCCCCTCCCTGACGCGCGAAGCGCACCAGGGGCGGCGTCAGAGGCGCCGCCAGGCTGGAATCAGAAGCAGCTCCATAAACATATAAACTGTCGGAGGTCTGCGCGGAATTCGCGGGAAAGGCGCTGGACCCTCCTGACGGCGCCTTTGGCGCCGCCACAGGCGCGATCCAAGAAATCTGCGCAGACCTCCGAAAGATCATGTTTATGGCGCTGCTTCTTGTTAGAGCCAACGCGCGGTCGGTTCACGACACGACGCAAAGAGCGTCGTTCCAGATTGAACGATCCACGATCCAAAGATCCACGAGGTTGAGGACATCGCCGAAGTCGTAGTCGTGTATTAGTCGTAGTCGCCCTCATCGTCGCCATCGCCCACGCGAATTTCTTCATACCGCCCCAAAAATCACACACACTCTAGGCGGCCAATTTGTCGCCGTGTTTTCGCCTTTGCAGATCGAGCCTCGGAGCCGTCAATAGAGTGATGTCGGCCGATTCGGGGCAGTCGGCCCGCTCAACCTGGAAAGCTCGCGCCTGAGTCGCCGCCGCGCCAACGTGGCGCAAACCTGCCGTACGCTCCTAGATGCTTAGAGGCAGCCTGGATGGGGTCCTAAATGGGATCGGAAGATCGCGCCGCATCACCGATGCATCGGCGATGCAAAAGCGATGCATGAGCGATGCACCGGCAACCTCGGCGATGCACCGGCGACGTCGGCGTGGAGAAAATCGAGTTCCGCATCGCGCCGCATCGGCGATGCAGCGGCGATGCGGCGCGATCCTCCGATCCCATGCACTTGGACCCCATCTAGGAGGCCTCGAGTCCTGGATGACCCTCGACGTAGCTCAAATCGTCGTGGTCGATTCGGGGGTGTCCAGGCGTTTGTGGGAAGCTCTGGCCTCCACGCGGCCCGCTGCAGCGCGAAAAACCTGCCAACACGGACACACCGGGAGCAGCCCGGCGGTCTGGTTCTGGACGAACTTTGGGCCGTCGGAGGCTCGAAACATCGGGAATCAGGGCCGTGGATTGTGGGAGAGAGGGCGCAAGCAGCGCTGGAGCAAAAGGGGAAGGGAACCCCGCTCAACCACCACCCCCCCGTTGGACCTTTCCTGCCCGAAGCCCCCCCCGTCCCCCCTTTTTGTTCCGCCCCCGTACACTTGTTTCGCGTTATGGAACCTACCACGCCCTCCCCCCTTTTCAAAGAGGGGGGTCTTAGCTACCCCCCTCCTTGGACCCCCCCCTGCCGGAGCCCCCCCCCCCTTTCTCCCGCCCTGCGGAAGCTACCCCCGCTCCTCCCTTTCCCGCTCTGGATGCTACCCCCTTCCCCCCCAGTTTCCGAAAGGGGGTGGGATCCTTTGGACATCCCCCCGTCTGGCTAAAGGAAAGGGTGCCGACAACCAGAGCGGCGACGAAAACCAAAAGAGGCGACGAAAACCAAAAGAGGCACCGAAAACTAAAAGGGCGCCGAAAAAAAAGTGCGCCCGCCACCAAACAAGCGTCAAACATCAAAGGAGCGCCGAAAACAAAAGCGGCGCTGGAAACCAAAATGGCACCGAAAACCAAAGGGGCGCCGAAGACCAATAGGGCGCCGAAAATCAAAGGACCGCCGAAAACCGAAGAGGCGCCGAAAACCAAAGGGGCGCCGAAAACTAGAAAAGTGCGCCGAAAATCAAAACGGCGGGAGCAGAAAACCAAAGGGGAGCCGAAAACCCAAAAACACCAACAACAAACAGAGCGCCGAAAACCAGAGCGGCACCGAAAACCAAAGGGGCGCCGCCCCAGAAGAGGGCGCCGAAAACCAAAAGGGCGCCACAAAAAAGGGCACCGAAAACCAAAGGAGCGCCGACAACCAAAAGGCGCGCAGAAAACCGACAGGGCGACGGAAACCGAAAGAGCGCCAAAAACAACAGGAGCACCGAAAACCCGAAGGGCACCGAAAACCAACAGAGCGCCGAAAACAAAAAGGGCGCCAAAAACCAAAGGAGCGCCGAAAACCACAGCGCGCCGAAAACCAAAGTTGCGCCGAAAACCACAGGGGCGCTAGAAACGCGAAGGCACCAACAACCAAAGAGACGCCGAAAACCAAAAGGGTGCCGAAGACCAATAAGCCGCCGAGAACAAGATAGGGCGCCGAAAACCAAAGGGGCACCGAAAACCAAACTGGCACCGAAAACAAAAAGCAGCGCCGAAAAAGAAAAGAGCGCCAAAAAACAACAGGGCGCCGAAAACCACAGGGGCGCCGCAAAACTCAAAGGAACGCAGAAAAACAAGGGAACCCTGAAAACCAAAGGGGCGCCTAAAACCAAGGGACTTCTGGAAACCTGAAGGGCGCCGAACACAGACGGGTCGCCGAAAACCAGAAGGAGCACCGAAAAACAAAGAGGCGCCGAAAACCAAATGGGCGCCGACAAGCCGACACCCAGAAGGTGGCCGAAATCCAAAGAGGCGCCGAAAACCACAGCGGCACCAAAAACCAAAGGGGCGCCGAAGACCAAAAGGAACCGAAAACAAAACGGACGCCGAAAACCACGGGGGCGCCGGAAACCAAAGGAGCACCGGAAACCAAGGAGGCACCGAAAACCAAAGAGGCGCCGAAAACCCATGGGGGGCTGGATACCTGAAAGGCGCCGAACACAGAGGGGGCGCCGAAAACAAAAGGATCGCCGAAAACCGATTGGGCGCCGAAAACCAAAGGAGCGCCGACAACCAAACAGGCGCCGGAAACCAAGGGGGCGCCGAAAACAAAAAGGGATCCGAAAACCAAGAGGGCGCCGAAAGTGAAAAGGCGTCGAAAACAAAACGGGCGCCGAAAACCACGGGGGCGCCAGAAACCAAAGGAGCACCGACATCCATGCAGACACCCAAAACCAAACCCGAGAACCACGTGGGGGCAGAAGACCAGAAGAGCACCGAGAACCACCGGGCTGCCGAAAACTCAATGAGCGACGGAGCGCCGGAGGCCACAAGGACGACGAGAAACAAACGACGCGCCGAAAACCAGAAAGGACGTCGAAAATCAAGTGGGCGCCGACAACCGAAAGGGCGAAAAAACTAAACTTACAAAGACACCGAAAACCGAAATGGCGCCGAAAACCAACATGGGCGCCGAAAATCACACGGGGACCGAAAACCACGGGGGCGCCGACCACCAAAGGAAGACCGCAAACCAAAGGCGCGCCGAAAACCACCGGGACGCCGAAAGCCAAAACGGCACCGAAAACCAAAGAGGCGCCGAAAACTCAAAGGGCACCGATCACCAAGAGGGCGCCGAAAACCGAAACGGCGCCGAAAACTAAAAGGGGGCCGGAAAACGCAGGGCGCCGACAACCAGAAGGGCGCCGAAAACACAAAGGCGCCGAAAACCAGAAGGGCGCCGAAAACCAAGGAAGCGCCGGAAACCACAAACCAAAGGGGCGCCGAAAACAATAATCCTGGCAAAAGACCCAACCATATGAAATTGTCGGTACCGCAATTGTGAATATCTTCTTCGGCGAAGCTCCCTATGGGGCTACGAAGCGCTGCGCTGGGCGGGGGGGGAACGCATGCGGGCGGTAGCACTGGGGCCGTCGGCGAAGCTCCCTATGAGGCCACGAAGCGCTGCACTGGGTGGGTGAAAGTACCAAATCAGGCGTGTGGGACGCATGCGGGCGGTCCCACTGGGAGCTTCGGTGGAGCTCCCCATGGGGCCGCGAAGCGTTGTACTGGATGGGCGAAAATGCCAAATTGGGCGCGGGGGGCGCATGCGGGCGGCGGCACTGGCGCCTTCGGTGGAGCTCCCTATGGGGCCACGAAACGCTGTACTGGGTGAGCGAAAATGCCAAATTTGGTGAAAGGGACGCATGCGGGCGGTCCCACTGGACGCTTCGGTGGATCTCCGCATGGGGCCACGGAGCGCTGTACTGAGTAGTGAAAATGCCAAATTAGGTGTGGGAGACGCACGCGGGCGGTCCCACTGGGGGCTTCGGTGGGGCCCCCTATGGGGCCACGAAGCGCTGTACTGGGTGGGTGACAATGCCAAGTTGGGTGTGGGGGACTCAAGCGGGCGGTCCCACTTGGGGTTTCGGTGGGGCTCTCTATTAGGTCACAAAACGCTATTGGTGAATGAAAATGCCAAATTGGGTGTGGGAGACGCGCGCAAGCGGTCCCACTGGAGA